TTTGAACACCCCATTTTTTACTATATTTGAAATAAAGCAAACCTAAAAGTGTATTTTATATAACAAAATGTACCAAAAGCTACTAAATAGCACTGATGAATGTTTGATTATATCAAGTTTAATCAATCCTGCAAAAATTATGAAGAAGTGTAGGAAAATGTTCCATAATTCATGGATGGCTAATAGGGCTGCCACGATTTCTCGACTAGTCACGATTACGTCCACTATCAAAATCGTCGACGACTGATTTAATAGTCGACGTGTCGTTTGAAGCTTTGTAAGATCGCAAAAGACGCAGGAATAAGTAGCAGGATTTAAGAGTGTAATAACGGACTGAAACAGAAGATGGCAGCACTGCATGTACAAGGATGCCAGCTGCCGTTAAACCCCGAAGAAGAAGAAGCAGCTGTGTCCCAGAATTCATAGCGCGGCCCAGCTTCAGTTTCCAACAATGGCGGTCAGCTAGTTAGTTTTAATATTACTCTTATTATTCTTTCTGGGTCACAAAATAAACGTTTAACATATTTTCAGGCGAGAATGTAGCTGTGTAAGAACACCGGACTCCCGGCAAATTGTTTTCAAACCCACCGCCGTCTTTCGCGACTCAGGTTAAATATATATGAGTCACTTAGATAAATTAAAAATGTTGTTGTTTGGCTTTTTTTTTTTTTAGTATTTTATTTGTTCCTGAGTAAATCGGTTTGGCTGAGATTAAAGTTATAGTTTTTACACAGCTGAATAAACGTCAAGCAGACAGCTGATTATCAGAAGTGTGAGATGCTGGAGAATATACTCCGGTGTCCTGTTATATTTTAGATAGCAAGGAGTTTATTAAACTTTACCGAAACAATCTGCAAATTTCATTAAAATTGAATAAACTATCATCTTGTCTTTATTTTTAGTTAGCACCTTAAAAGCTTAAAGCTGTAAGCTAATGATAGTTATATAAGAGCAGATGCTGCTGGTGCAATAAGCTGTAGTTTTATGTCCAGTGGATGATGATCTGATTAGTCGACTAATCGCATAAATAATCGGTGACTAGTCGACTATCAAAATAATCGTTTGTGGCAGTCCTAATGGCTAATAATTTTGGCTTCAACTGTAATAACTCTCGGCTAGGCTTCATGTTACAGGTACCGGGTGGCAGCACCTGTAGACAGCTATATATGTGTCCTGTAAACAGGAGAGAAATGATCAGACAGGGAGACGTGGCTTGCCTTTCCTGAATACTCCGCCATTTTTATTCAAATTCACAATTATGCACTCCTTTCATTACTTTTACAGTATTACAACTGTGTATTTACTTATTCTTAACATAGCTCACACACACATTCTCCATAACACATTCCAATGTTATAAACATGACCAATTTTCTTGTAAGACTTGGTTCAAAATGAATTCCAACAAGACAAATCTATAAATCTCAACTAGCTTGAAAGAATGGTATAATCAGCACCATCTCGACATGTGCACTGAATTCACGGAAACACTTTATGGCAGAAACAAGATACTAAAACAATACAGAATAACGGTGGAGCCGATCACTAATATCACAGAGCATAGGAGGTGTGCGACCCAAACTAACATGCTAACCTTAGCATGCTGCTAAAGCCGTAAACAAATACTTACAAAAGTGTAATTTACTGTACTACACAATGTTGTACGCTTTCACTTTCCAACCGTAATGGTTAGTCTATGCTATATAATGGATGTGATTGCTATTATATTCTATTTCGGGCACGATACGAACCTGTAAACAGGAGAGAAATGATCAGACAGGGAGACGTGGCTTGCCGTTTCCTGAATACTCCGCCATTATGAGAAAACAGCGCGGAGCATGCGCTTCAGGCTGCTAACAACAGGCCAAACCATGGTCTCACACTGCCACCTATTGGTATAAAAATGAAGCGTCCGCTACAAATATCCCAGGGTAGTTACCAAGTTTCCTGTTACAATTACTGTAGTTATTTAGGGCATTTCCAAATGGAAATATCACTTACATTGAAAGTGAAATTACTTAAATTAATTCACATAAATGTGATCACACATTAGTGGGTATCACACACTCCCTGACAAAAACTAAAATGGCTCCCAACATTCACAAAATCATGACATTTTTAACTTTTGTCTAAATTCTTATTAACTCTTATCAGTCCAAGAACTAGTTATGAAACAAGCAGTGGGGGTGGTGTGTATGCAGATGGGGTCAGTGATGCGTGATACTGGTATGGTGAGTATGGTATTGGGGTGCAGTACATTGGTGACTGTGACATACATACGGGCGGCACAATTGCCAATGGTGGGTATGGAAATACAGTGTATGATGGTATGGTTGTGGCAGGTAACTGTGGTGCTGTGCGTTCCCCAACTAGATTAACTGCCGCATGTGACTGCACTGAGGGTTTACCCAGTGATTCATAAGTCAGAAACTGTCGTGGCTTCCTGTGACGGGTAGATCTTCTAATGTCCGTACAAGTATCTCCCGGTGGTTGAACCTGTACGTTAGACTGCGAATGAGTTTCACACTCCTCACCAGACCCTCTGGGTTCAGATAGGTTGTCACTACCCACTTGCATTTCTTCCATCTCCTCTCTCAGAGAACATGGCAGGTGTGAGCATTCTCTCCCAGTTTCCTCTTTGAATTGTTCAATGCTGACGGATGGTGAATGCTCAGGCATAGTCAGTATGTCTTCCATCGTCTGCACAGGTGAATGTCCATTTTTTGTGTTTGTTGTCACTCTAATAGGTTCTTTGGTCTGGTATGACTGAGATTCAGGGTGTTGCTCATGGTCCAGGTTCCTTCTCACAGTCCTTTCAACAGGTGCTCTTAGCCAGTACCCCGAGCAATCAGTCTCAGAACCGCTGTCAGAGTTATCCCACATGTCTGTTTGTCTTTGTCCATCTGCAGATCTTTCCATCCTTCATCTGTTGCGTGTTGTCTTTCCAATCGCAGGCTTTGCCAGGGGGGGAGTGACTTGAACAGGTAAGTCATTTACAAGTAACAGCAGATTGCGATGCAGTGTTCGGGTTCTTTTTGGGTCTCCAGCTTCAGGATGGACTACGTAAACTGGGCTATCTGCTAGCTGCTCTTTTACTATATAAATAGTCCTCTCCCAATATGATCTCAACTTGCCAGGTCCTCCCCGCTCACTGAGGTTTCTGACCAGAACTCTGTCTCCTGGCTGAAGCATGACTCCTTTTGCCTTTTTATCATATGTTATTTTGCCTCTTGCACTAGACTTCTTGCTATTTTCACTAGCAATCCGATAAGCTTCCGACATTCTTTCGGCCCATTTCTTGGCATATCCTGTAGGTGAGTATGTTTCATTCTCCCCCTTCAATCCAAACAGCAGATCAACTGGTAGATGCGGGTGTCGTCCATAGAGGAGATAGAATGGTGAGTAGCCGGTGGACTCATGTCGAGTATAGTTGTACGCATGTACAAGATGTGGGAGGTGGTCTTTCCACTGTACTTTTTCCTTTTC